ATATGTCATGACATATAAAAAATTGTGGCGCCATCTATCGAGTGATGTCAAAAGTGAGGAGCGAACCTCAACCCAACTAATCACGTTTGATGTCTCGTTTGATGTAATTACCGCGAAAATCTACTTTCAAGTGCTTATTTTATTACCCATATCGTTCATAAATACATTGTGCGAATAATATTGTCAAAAAACATGTACAATTACGCGAAATGGAGATTTTAAATTCTGTTCCGATTATTAAACTTACTGTCGCTAGAGGGCAGGTCAATTTGCTATATGTGATTTAAAAATATCGCCTTGATATTTTTAATTCATTTACCAATATGTGCGACTTGATATTTTTAATTCTATTGCACAAATTACTAATTTCTACTTGATATTTTTAATTACTTTGCATTGTACACGATATGAAACCTAGAAATATAATTCGTGAATTGTATATTTCAATAGGATATTAAAATTTTTTTAACTATAACAACCTTTGTGTTAATTACAATTGTCAATATGGAAACTACCTCTTCCATTGTCGCAAAAATTTCAATCCCGTCTAACGTTTTATTTGAAACTGCATACCTATTAATTGATTTTAATGAACATTTCAGGTACGTTTTAAAATGTTCAGAATGCAAAATTATAACTTCTGTTACTGAAAAATCGGTTGATGAATTTTAAAAACATATTTTCGTTATTGAAAATTAAGAAATGAAATAGAAAATTATTCTATGGTTGAAAATAGCTTTTATTTTTAAATATCAGATAAAAATTTTTGATATCAAAAACAGTTTGTAAACATTCAGCAATGAATTCTTCATTGTGGAGGAATAAATTAATAGGGATGGATATTACTTGAAACAAAAAATTGAAAATTATCGTTATGTTGTGAAATGAACATCCAACCAAAGGAATCAATGAAATTTATTAATATTTCAACTCTAAATAATAATAGTTTTGAAATAAAAAATTGTTTTAAAATACAAAGTCGATATCATGAAATACGTTTGAATTAACAAACTTAACACCATAATTGAAGAATTACAATTATAAATTTCAAATAGCGAACTTCGCAAAGTATTTAAAAATTCCAAGTAGAAATTAGTAATTTGTGCAATAGAATTAAAAATATCAAGTCGCACATATTGGTAACTGAATTAAAAATATCAAGGCGATATTTTTAAATCACATATAGCAAATTGACCTGCCCTCTAGCGACAGTAAGTTTAATAATCGGAACAGAATTTAAAATCTCCATTTCGCGTAATTGTACATTTTTTTGACAATATTATTCGCACAATGTATTTATGAACGATATGGGTAATAAAATAAGCACTTGAAAGTAGATTTTCGCGGTAATTACATCAAACGTGATTAGTTGGGTTGACTTTTGACATCACCCGATAGATGGCGCCACAATTTTTTATATGTCATAACATATAAGTAAATCGAATTACCAATATCACAGAGTTGATATTAAAAATTAAATTGTGCGTTCCAAAGTTACGAGTTTGAAATAGAGAATTGAATTTTTTGTTTCAACTTGAAATTGAAAATTATTACAAAGCGTGAAGGTGATATTAAAGATTATTTAATATCAAATCGATAATTTTTGAACATTAAAACCGTTATTTGAAATTGTAAAAGAGGAAATTATTGCGAGTTGTTATTGGAAGATATGCAATTATTAATTTCAACTAGGTAATTGTTGTTAACACAAAGTAAATTTCTATAAATTTTAGTACCATTGCGTCAATTATAGTTAATTTTTTTAGTCCGGGTGTTCAGTTATTAAAAGATACAACGGCGTTCCATATCCGACGAAATGTATCCGTAAATAGTATGGAAGCGGGCGACTTTTAATTCTTTCCCTTTATAAAGATCAAAAGAATGAGTTTAACTTTCAAGTGAAATCCAATTTGTTGTATTCTCAAAATGTATATACCTACCTCCCTAAAATTATAAGCGTTTTAAGACGCATTCTTACTTTGGCACTGTTATTGAATATTCAGTCATGTGCGTTTTCGGTTTTTGAAGGGGCTAAACATAAAATTAGCCGTGAGTGTTAAAGTGAACTTCAGAAAAGAAATATGTCCGTTGTGTTTCATTTCGCAATATAAATCCTCTCAAACGATTTTTAGCGTCATAATTCTTAAGACGTAACGTTTACGGCACGTCTCATTGTGAATTAAATAAATCTCTTTTCGCCCAGAAATGATTGCAGTTTCGTGAGGTGGAAGTCCGTCGGGTCCTTTACAAATCGAATGGATATGCCAGGATTTGGGACAATTTCTGCAGAAAAGTTGTATGTTAATGAACGGGTGTGCTGTCGCAATAAATTCTCGACCGTTTTTAGACCTTTCCTGGTGAATTACTGCTTTTGTTGTGTAGTACTCGCATAGATCAATAACAGTTTTTTTTTGTATGTGCCACTTGAATCATTAGCAACCATTTTACTCGTTAGCAACCTACTCAAATGACAGTTTTAACAAGAAATCGTTCAATCGATTTATTTTGGCAAATACTAAATGTACAATGCAGGGTTTCATGATATTTGGGTTGAATTATAAAACAAAGAGACGTGCCCATGCATTCTAGCTAGGCCACCCTGTATAGTATGTGGTGGAAAGGTAGCTTTGTAAAGTAAAGATTCGAAATAATTGAGTCGAACGAAGGAACTAAGCAAAAACTCTTCATTGTCACCTCCTGAAACATAAATAATTCTTATGTGTAGAAGTTACGGTTTTTAGTAATGAAGCACCCATTCAATTCCATCAATGTACCGGATGTTCATTAAAGCTGGTAGCAATCGAGTACAAAAACGGGTGCTTCGTTATAAGACTAGTGATGTGGATTGTAAAATAACGATTTGTAAGTTACATAAAAAACGGTTATATTACGCGTAACTTACAAGAGGCCGGTTTTTTAATGTAATTTATGTCTTTTATGAAACTTACGTAACTTCCGTTTTTAATTTAAAAAACCGTAATTTTTGTAAGTTACATAAATGTAATACCTATTTGATACATTTTGATCGGCACTACCACAGACCATCAACGGTACTACCAACGTAAACGATTCACCGTTGAATTTAGTTTGGTTTAATGAAGATGATGTAGCCTCTAATTCGCGATCTGGAGCTTCTTCCTCCAAACGACGCGTGATGGCGAAATACCTACTGCTTGGGTATTTTACACCAAAATATATAATTTTACAAGTGTTTCTGTTTTCAAACACTCACAAAATTCAAAAAGGTTTATACAATATTGAAAAAAAACATAAAAAACATAAATGACAGGTAATTTTACAAAAATACTTGTAAATTACATAAAAAACATAAATTGCTGGTAATTTTACCGTAAAATTACGGTTTAAAAAAAAAATGGTAAGTTACATAAATTACATAAAAAACATAAACAATTGGTAATTTTACACGTAATATTACGCACTTTAAAAAAAACGTGTAATTTAAAATTTGTAGTCTATAACTTTTGATTGAGAAGTCTGATCGAAAAAGTACGAATTGATTTGGATTCTACGCACCCAAATTAATAAGAAAAAGTGTTTTCCCAAGAAATTTTGGTGTAGTCGATTTTTGGTAAAAAAGGAAGGTTATACACTGCCTTTTTTTGAGCCCCGAAAAAAAAATTCTCAGATCGACCCGGAAAAAAAAAATTTTCTTATAGAATGTGGCCTGTAGAATCCATAATTTCAAACAGTTCCAAGATTGGGCTACTAGTTCAAAAGTTACGGCCCTTTGAATTTTCTTTCGAAATTGGTTTCTAGTCCATAACTTTTGATTGAGAAGTCCGATCGAAAAAGTACGAATTGTTTTGGATTCTACGCACCAAAATTAATAAAAAAAATTGTTTTCCCGAGAAATTTTGGTGCAGTCGATTTTTTGTAAAAAAAGGTTAAACACTGCCTTTTTTTGAGGCGCGAAAGAAAAATTGTCTCAGATCGACCCGGAGAAAAAATTTTCTTATAGAATGTGGCCTGTAGAATCCATAATTTCAGATTGGGCTACTAGTTCAAAAGTTACAGCCCATTGAATTTTTTTCCGAAATTGGTTTCTACTTAAGACAATACATTAAGAAAACAATGCCCTACAGAAATCACACGACGCAGACAAGACGTGCTTAATTTACACCACGGTTTACGAATACCATTTCACTAATCCTTAATTGGGAAATTGGCAATCTAAATTTCGACTTTTTATAGAATTTCTATCATATGCAATCCTCACAATGAAATTTCGAAAAAAATTAAGTGCAAATTTAGGGCATTTCATTTTTACTATTTTCACATTACAACCTAAAGCAGGAAAAAATAAACTAATAAAATATAAATTTGATAGGTACATGCTCCGAATATTCCATTAATAATCTTGATGAAAAAAGAGCGGCTACAGATTAAAGGGGAAACTGGCGAAGAGAAATCACTATATAAGTGTAATCCAACAGAAATGAAACATTTCGAAGCTTTCAAGTACGTCCCTGCGAAGAATGCATAATGCCGTACCGGCGAGCGAAATAAAAAAAACAACTCTAATCCCGTATTGCTCTAAATCTGTCAAATTTCTATTGTCAATTAAACACACTTTGGTAAGCGACGAGTAATTGTAACACTTGATAATTTGGCATTAAGTTGCTGTCCGCTATCGACATTAGTTAATATAACTTATTACAAGTTTCTCGCACACCTCAAGTTACGAGACAATTAATACTGGAGAATTAAACCCTTTACCGTCTGCGTCGCGTTTATCCGGTGGGGCGTCGATAAAATCCAACAAAAACAATTTATATTTTAATCTTAAGGGCGCGCTTCGGCTAACAAAGGATAATGGAAAAGAGATCTTTTCATGTAAAATTCAAAGCTTTCGGAATTTAAAGTGTGTGTCCTACCTTCGTTTCGTACTGCGACATCTCACACTGCGCTGGGGAATTTATATTGATTAAATGTTCTCGATGATTGCGTTATTTTATTTTGGTATTTTTCTCTTGTTACAGGCCGGAGTTGTGGAGATGACGTGGGTGATGAGCGACTACACGGCCGCGGGTCCGCAGGAATTGAGCGTCATGAAGGGACAGCAGGTGGAAGTAATCGAGATGTGCGCATCCCGTCCCGATTACTGTCTCGTAAGGATGCCCACTAGAAGTGCCGATCACGAATGTTCCAACGTTCCTGAAGGACTGGTACCACTTTCGGTTCTCAAGCAACCACCGGCGCCGAAGAGTTCGCCGAAACGGCTACCTTTGGATCACGATGGCGGTAAGTCTCTTTGCCTTTTCTCGACCGAATCTCAGATTAAATTCTGAGTAAGAAATTCTTGACAGAACAGCTTCCTAGCTCAAATCAAAAATCGCGCTTTTGGAAGAGTGTCTTCCAAAAATGGCAAGTGTAGGGGAAAAACGTTTCCCACGAAAGTTTGTTATAAGAATATTCAATAAAGAGTATATATTTTCAGTTGCTCTACACTTTACCCTTAAGGGACAGTAATGTGAAAATATGCATAGTATTATTAAAAGGGCGCTCCATATGAAGAATATTTTATATAAATGATCGCCTCTAGTTTCCGCAATAATCGACTGTCTCAAGATAAGTGGGACACCCTGTAGATACATGACCGCTACACGTACACCCCAATTCGTCTCTCTTATTCAGGTGCAGTTAAACTCAATGCAATCGTTCCCTAAAATGGATATCTTTCCATCACAATCCGCTATTTATTATCGTTCTATTAATAAAAAAAAATGCTTAATATGTTTAGATTCCAAAATGGAGAATAAAATTTTCGGGTTATGCAATGTTATATCAATGAAACCATTGAATTAGGTGAATCGTGGAAACGGAAGTTTGTCTTGTTGTCGACGATACGATAATAAATCTCCCTTTGAAGGGCTGACACGATAATAGAAATTTCGTTTGTTTTTATTATCATATTCCATCTCCACAATGTTTATTGTTTCTCATTATACTTTATGGCTAGCATTTGCTTTTTTTTTTCAGTTTTCTGCATACTAATTATTGAAAATCGTACCTCGACGTTCCGTGATTAGGTTTTCGTGCCATTTTCCCTTATTGCTATGATACACGCTAGAATTTACTGTATAGCAATTGGAATCCGCAGAGAATGTACACTTCGACGGCGTCCTTATGTTAAAATTTGATATTTTTGCAGTATGAGCCTAATTCATAAGAAATTTTACATTTGTGGTTGATTAATTTTGTTTTGAACACAAAAACTGGCGAAATGAAATGGCGAAAATGAACTTCGGCAAGCCCTCTTCGGAAGGGGGGAGGGGGGCTATCAAACTCACTCTTTAACCCTTAATCGTCGACTTAATAGACAAATTTTTGAAATTTGATGAAATATTAGTACCCTAATACAAGAAAATTTTTCAAAAAAACTTATTACAATCACATCAATAACATTAATCTAGATATCCTACCACATGAAAATAAAACAAATGAATGTGTACGTTTGCTACCATTTTTGTCTTCAAGGTTTAATAAGAAACGTACACGTTCATTTGTTTTATTTTGATGTAGGATAGGTATCTGGATTAAAGTTATTGATAATTTTTTTTAAATTTTCTTGAATAAGGGTACTGTTATATCATCGAAATGAGAAAAAAAATCTCTATCAAATGAGCCTAATGAAAATTCAATTGTTTTTCGTTACTCATTTCTTTTCTGAAATAAAAACAACTGAATACTGCCTTATTATGGGAAAAAAATGTTAAACAACTTTCATATAGAAAAATGTTGTATACATTGGATATTTACCGAGATATATACTATTTTCCATACATAATGGGCACCTTGTATATGCGCGAAAGCTGTCCCACTGACTTGATGTGATACTTAATTAATTATTTAATTAGCAGAATTGACGAAGCTTTAATATATGTATATATAAATAAGACCATCAGCTAATTTTTTTATTACCACTATAGGTTGTTATCTGTTATCATTCGCATTTAATTAATTATATACCTACATTATTTATCGGTTTTGCCAGTGTTCTTAACCTAGCCGAAAGGATATTTCTGTTTTAAAATCGTTATTCAGTGAAAACTGTGCGAATAAAACGAAACTGCTAATGGAATGTTGGGAATTCTATAGAGCCAAAATTGAATGGTATATGGGAAGGGATTCCGAGGATAAGAAATACTTTCACAGCGCTTCAACAACATTAAAGCATAATAGCTGTATCCCTATGCCTATCCTCGACGAGAGCTTAATTTGAATTTATCCAATTACGCAATTCAAACGCTTACGTATACAAACAATGCGACGACGAAAAGAATCGCCAGTCGACGTCAATAAGGGTTATAGAAACAGCCAGTTTCAGTAAAGATATTTTCAGTTTTACACGACTTTGGGTTGTGTGTCGGAAATTGATCTACACTTTGTTGTTTCAAGCGGAATGTGTTTATTTTTTTACCGGTGCAAAGTTTCACTTAAACCCAATATTCCTGAACATCGTTTTTTATTAACTTTTTCACACCTTCGGGAAATATTTATTTTTCTTTGGAATAATTTTCAGGATTAGTTTAAATAAGACTTATTTGGGAAAAGGTTTTTACCACCCAGTTTTTTTACTCATTATCCTGAACCTTTAACCCTATATCTACCTCGAAAATAAACTTGGAAAATATGGATCGTGTAAAGCGATAATGAAAACACATCCAATTTGCATCACCGAATTTAATGTATGCAGTTGTTTTTGCCACAGAATATTTGGTCAAAGGCGCTATATACTTAACTTACTTCATTTCTAGCTCGGCTAATCTGCTTTGTACTTGCTAATGGAGTAATATACGTAATTAGTTTTGACTCGACGGACATCGAGAGGCAACCTAATTGCAAGATGAATAAATTAGGAAATAAGAGAGGAATCCCGTTTCTCTTCATTTCTACGATTAAATAAACCCCTCCTACAATCGTTGGAAATCGTGAAAATGTTTAACATTAAACTGTTGTTTCATCTTCTCGAATTTATATTAAATCCCATTTCCGCACACTGAAACCCTGTTATAAATTTCAAATTTTGTATTGAGCACGCTTTGAAATGTTAAGACTTAGGTAGTGCTTATGTCAGCCGAATTTTATTCAATACATACATTTTATACACTTCTAAGACATTTCTGTATATTACTGAGTTTAGACGCCCACATAGCAAGAGTTTCCCTTGAAAACTCTCTTTTCCGGCATTGATCAGTAGGTTTCTGATGACCTACATTATTCGTTTAACGACAATACAGTTTTGTTTCTTTGAAACTTACTAAGTGTTCGGACTAATTCGTCAGAAAGTCGCAGGGTGCGATTCTCATTATTGTTATTTTTCAGTTGAGTCCATCGACTAGTTTTAATTGTAGTGGTGCAGGGACAAAACATTCCTAACTACTAATTGTTGGTCCATTTACTGGACTACTTAAACAGCCATAACGGTGTCCTTTGATTGCTATCGTAAAATCGTAAACACAGTCGGTATAGAACAAGGGCGCGAATCATTGCCATCAAAATATTATTGTCATCTCCCTTCTCTATGTTCTATATCGACATAATTTTCTCAATAAAGACACACAAAGTATTTACTGATCGAGTTTACGATAATCACTAAACTCTAATTTAATCATCAACAAGAGTTGCCTAAGTATTTTATTGCTAGCGAATTGAATGAAAGGAATTGGGGCCGTATTTCTCGAAAATTAGGATTCCCACACAAGTTCAGTTTTTGAATTTTTTGTTCTGTAATTATTTATGCATAATAAAATGTTTTATCTTGTTGCAGTTGTTAATTAAGTATACGTTGATAAGTCTGTCTGAGATTTTATATTTATATCGCATAACCAGTATCCGTTTTCCGAACTTCGTTTCCACATTAACTATTAAACAGTGAATTTGACGTTAAAAAGGAATCTTTAATATTAAATTTAGGAATTATGCATCAAGCATGAGATGCTAAATGAGAAAAATAATAATTGAATTAATCAAATCTATTAGTTTGCAATAGTGCAGTGCTAAGAAATGACGTATTACCAGTAGAAAGCTTCCTTTTCGTACGATACTGCAGTAAAAAAACATTTCAAATTTTTCGGAACAAATTACTTCTTACTGATCTTAACTTCCAGCCATCAATTTAAAACATTTTCTATGCTGTGTTTTAGATGCTGTATATCTGGATACACATTGTAAAGTTTGTTCTTTAAATAGACCCATAAAAAATCTTATGGATTTAAATCCAACGACCTGGCGGGCCATGAAATAGGGCCGTTAGTACTCATGCACTGATTCGGAAATATAATTTAAATAGTTCGTTACTCTTTCCGCTTTGTGGGCAGGTGCACCGTCTTGTTGATAATATAAATCTGGGCACATCATCTAGCATATTTGCTAACGCGTCTCTTAAAAATTGTAAATTCGGATCACCTGAGAGTACCCTCACATATATGAAGTAGTGTTTTATCTTTCAAAATGCACACTAAACGTTAACACTACATTTTCTTTGAAATCCTCTTTCAAGCACAATTATATGGTTCTCCTATAATGATAATTTCTTGCATTTTTTTAATAACTTGATTCATCTGCCCTGCTGCCCAGACAATAAATTTTAAAGTCACTTCCTTGGCTTAACTACAAATAACAAAACTCAAGGCGTCTTTCATGGTCTCCAAAATGTAAATGTTGAACTTTTTTAAATTGAAAATTTCATGTACTCTTTCTCGGTAGTACCGATTCTAATAGATGCCCCTGGATTTGCTTCAAAATAGGCCAAAATATATATTTCAATATCATTATTTATTGTTGTTCTCGGTTTTCCAATAAATGCAGTTACCTGTATATATAGTATAGTATAGTAATGTATACTGTATACTGCATAGTGGCTTCTAATCCTCGAAAATATTTATGTGATGGTACTCTTCTCTTGCACGATATTTTTCCTGATAGATTCTAACCGAGGCCAAAATGTACACCTCGTACCGATCAACTTTCTCATTATGAGCAAAATTACGCATTTTTCTATTATATTAAAAGCTTATTCAATATTCACACAACAATAATAATTCAATATTAGCAATTGACAGTGCTAAACAACATAAATAGTGCGATTGTTTCGGTCACAGCACTCTAAGATCTGAAAACATATTCAACTTGTTTCGTCCATGGCACACTTATTTGAGCTATAATGAAATAAATCGAAACATGCATTTTTCTCATAATAAGAGTATAGGTACAAATTATCACTGAATTCAGAATAAGAT